CGGAAGACGGAAAAAACCCAGAGCTAAGAGGAGACGATGGGAAACTCCTTAAAACCCATAACGTTTGTTTAAATACAGCTGCAGGTACAAGCAAATAAGTTAGCGATAAACAACATAAATATGCGAACTTAAACCAGCTATTCGAAAAACCAATCACCCAAAGGACACCTAGACATATGTCCATAGAACCACAAACATCTACATACGCAGATAGTTTGCTAAACCAAAATGAGAAAAAAACATATAACTACATCACACGAACCTATATCGAAAATATACACAAAATCCAAACTTATTTAAATCGCAACCCCAGATCAATTATGAAAGAACCAAACCAAGATTATTTGACACAAAAGTTACAAGGATATAACAAGTTAATTGCACGGCCAAAAACTAACGGTAATTTAGTAAGAACATGTTATAACTACAGACTGTTAAATACTATATACACGTACGATGAAGAAGAAGTTAGTGAAATACCGGAGCTACACAAAACATTCGTCACATACAAAAGAGTTACAAAAGGGAATTTATTTTATATAAAATTCTATACAGCACCAGCGGAGATATTATACGAGGAAATAAAACCTCCAATACAGGTTATCAAGATAGGATTGACTAAAGATATGATCATACCCGAGGACATCGGACAACAAGAAGAGATATGCAAAATAGAGATACCAAGTTTTTACGCCAACAAAAGAATAATTGGTATATCAACTATCATACAGGAGCTAGCATATAAATATTTAAATGGAAATGCTATATGGAGCTACTCTACAGATCAACTAATAATATACTCAAATTCAAGAGAACTAAGGAAAACAGATATGGATGAAGTCCAGCAATGGATTTATCATTATTAAAGCCAGAAGAACGACCTACAACAAGAGCATTAAAAGAAGGATTTATTTCGACAGAATTATTAACCAGATATTGCAAGCTAATTTGACACAAATACCCTGATCACATATGTTCAAAATGCAATGGGAGAAGATAATGTAATCCCCGACGTCCAGCTGGAATGATAAAATAAAAGAAGATAGAGACGAAAAAGAGATGAGATAAAAGAAGATAAGAAAAAGAATAGACGTAAAGTTAGTGGAAAGTTATTTGTCTTGTAAAAAAGTCAAAAAAGTATTATGTGAATAGTAGTATGTCATAATAGTGTGTCATAGTGTGAATAGTATGTGTCATAGTGTAGATAAATGTGTCATAAAGTAGGTATGGTGTGGGTATGGTATGTCATATTATATTTGGCAAGTGTAGTATTTATAAATGAAGTAAAATGGGTAGTACGTAAGATGCATAGTTATTAGAATAGATTTTCCTTTCTATAAAAAGGAGGGAACATGTAAAAATAAAAGGCAGGCAATGCCTAAGTTATAAAACTTTACTTTCAAAAAACTCTCTCAAACTTAGATTATAAAAAACACTCTCTCCACTAAAGATATAAAAATACTTAAAAGTTAATGAAACAACAATCTGAAATTCAATTAGATATTTCAGATTGATTGTCAAATCTGTCTAGAACTAATTCCATTTAGATTATGACTTCTTTGTAAATATTTAGTTTTTTAATTTAGTATCTATCATAAAAATATAATCACTCGTTAGTAACATGATTTAAGTAACATTTTCTCTAATTAAAGGATGATACTACGTCTTTACAAAGATCAAGTCGCTATTTTATAGTTGAAACGAGTTCTAAGCACACATTACATGATATGATCTGATCATGAAAGTTAAAGTGAGATTGCAAAGGTCATTCTCACATCACTCCTTCAATATCTACAAAATATAGTTTAAATGCTAAGGTAGAGCATTTATAATCGCCTGCTAATATATTTTCATCTTCACCACTTGCAGAGACATTCTAAACAATAGAATTCAAAAATTTACCACGGTAAGAGAGCAACATACATATTAACTTTTACAACTAGCACAATAGTTTCACATTTGTGTGAAAACTTTCTAAACCAGAAAATACCTACTTATAAATCCTTAGCATTTATGATTACGTGTATAGATATTGCCAAGGACAAGAAGTAGAAAGGCAGTATATAATATCGCTAATCAAATATTTTATATGCGGGACTGATTTGATGTTCAAACTAGTATAAACTAACAACCTAGAGAGAAGAAGAACACTTGAACACTTCTCCTGAAACAAGAACAATAGACAAAGAAACATCTAGTTACTCTGGCAGGACTCCTCCGACACTATTTCAATTTCAAATAAAGAGACACGACCATAAATGAGGTCACAAAACATTACTGATAAATTATCAAAGTATCATAAGATTCCACAGTCCAACAGGTTGAATTCCCACAGGTTTAAAACATGCGGAAATAAATTAATCACACAGGCTACAAGATAAATATAAAGATATCCTGCAAATTACATTTGTGTGTTATTCAAATGGTTGTTGGGATGTAATACCAATACTTCTCTAGAAAAACATGAGAATGAATTACACCAATGTCATAGGAACCAGTCAACCACCACCATCTAGTGATAATAGCTCAATCTAAGCCTAAACGCACACTTGAGAGGAGTAGTTCCCGACAATCCAAAGTTCTGGGATGCACATCCAATAACCAAGGTATGGGGAGAAATATTCAGTATATTACCAAATTAAGCAACCCTGCAAAGTGGAAACTGCGAAGAGACGAAGGAATAACTGCAATTACTATTATTGCCTGCCACACCTAACACTCCCACCTCAGCCACCTCCATAAAGCTCTGAAGAGGCCATGGGGAATTGTTGGCCCTGAATCTCAAACAAGCCCATCCACAGCATGGACCGCACCCAGTTATCCCAGTCTGTCCTTATTCCCAAGGCAGAGAATGTTTTTCATGTTCTTTTTTTCTTTTGAGCTTCAGAGAACGGAAATATACTAGATAATAAATTTTCTTTCGTTCTCCATTTGCAATTAGGTATTAAAATCACATAGTTATATATGGCAGTAATGAACTTGCACTAGTCTGCAATTAAAGCCATAGTATCAGAAAAACAACATTTACGAAGAAACAATATCGACAGTAATGATAAAACAATCAACTATGCATCCTATGTATTCGTTCTCTACAAGATATCAACTTTTCATAAATGAAGAAAAAACCCTACCAGATTCCAAATGAATTAAAGCAAATAACTAGCAGATTCACCCAAGTTCATAAATAAATAAAAAACCCTACCAGATTCCAAACGAATTAAAGCAATGAACTAGCAGATTCTTAGGTGAATGAAAGTAACCAATTCAATTTGACATAAGAATCAAAGCATATGAAGAAACCCTAGAAGATATCAACTTTTCAAGAACATAATAGATTCACATACCTGAAAATCCTCAGAAGAAAGCAACTATTTCTCCTAGTGCTTCAGAAGTTAGCGATTTTGGTATTATGTGCTTCAACAGTACCGATGTTGCCCAAGTCTCAAGTCTCTCACATAGTGCAATACTCTTAACTAGAAGAAATGAAAAGGTAAAGTCGTTGATAAGCTCTCCAAGACGATGGTCACCTTGATGAAGATGGGTTAGGTCTCAAGAGAAGTCTCCTGAGAAATGACTTTTGGAAGAGAGAACATGTTTTGGAAGAAAATAAATCCCTAATATTTAATTAATAAAGGCAATGAATTTAGCTACGAAATTATTTATCCCTCGCTATATTTTTTTTTGTTATAAAGTAATAAATAACAAAAATATTTAGCTACGATTTAATTTTGTTGCTAAGACTTAAAAAAAAATATTAGTTTAGAGACAAACATATCATCGTTGCATCCGTCGCTAAATTTTGGGGAAAAAAATATCTCATGCCTATTTCGCTCTTTTTGTTGCGAAGTAAAGGCAACAATTTTTAGCGCAAAAAAAAAAGCCAGAAATTTGGCTTGTTGTCGCTAATCTATCTCTAGTGTGGATACCAAATTTATTTTTAAATTTTTAGCAAGATGCACATTATTTTGTCGCTAATCCATCGTTAGATAACAACGAATATATGGTTGTCACCAGATATTTGTTGCTAAACGCAGTTTTTTTTTGTAGTGAACACTTCTATGGTGGGCTCCAGTGGATCAAAGGATGTTGATAAGTCGGGCACTGATGACCAGACAGGGGGAGTGACCGATATGCAGATATCACCCCAGGCCTAGGCTTGCAGGATGACTCTTTTGCCTCTCTTTATGTTATTTTTTAGACTTTATTATTGTTTCTTTGCATTTGAGGACAACTGCTATTTTCATTGGCGGGGTGAGGTATTTCTATACCCACTTCTTTTGGGTTGTTTTTGTAGATTTTGTTGTTTTTGGTTTTGTGAATGTTGGATCTGATTTTATGTTCATATATATATATATATATATATATATATATATATCT